AGAGTCCTGGGTAACATTGTCAGGCCCCATTTTCCCCATTTGCAAATGGGTATATAACATCACTCTACTTTCTCTCTCTTAAGCATCTCTTATCCTAAATGAGTGAATGCATGATAAGCCAGAAAGTAGGGCTTGAGTTGTGTTGATCAGACATGTAAAATGGGAGCAGGTAGATTTAATATTATCGTTAGTCTTGACTTGAGCTGAACACAGTAGTTTTACTGGTAAAACCATGTTTAATAATACTGTCTACACATTAAAATTTACAGGGAAGTTTTTTAAGAGAAAAAAATCATGGGCTCCACACTCTGTTTCAAGATTCTTATTCAATCGACATGAGATGAGATCTGAGCATCAGAATGTTTTTAAAAGTTCCTGAAGGGGATTCCATTGTGCAGCCAAGGCTGAAAACCAGTCTTAGAAGAGCACACCAGTAATGCGAAGTAGGTGAGAATGACATCACATAAGGTGGATCTTTGTTGTGACCAAGAGATGAGCCCACTCTATATTCTGGAAGTTCTCAGCAACTGATGTTCAGCGGGTTTCAAATCATGATCAGGGGGAAATGACACTTAAATAAAAGCCAAGAATCACAAGAGTCCCTGAAGGGTGGACTAAAGGAGCCCTCAAAAATTATCCAAACTGAATTTTCTACCTAATTGCTGTGTGAGCACCAAAGGGAAGGTCTCTGGGCCTCCGTTTCCTAGCCATTAAAGGAGCATATTAAATTAGATAAGTTTAAGGGTATCTTCCAGTGCTGTTATTCTGATAGTTTTCAAGCCTCAGAGAAAAGAGATGTTGACATTGCCCATTCGTGCTGGTATTCTCTGCGCATTCTTTGTCGGAAGTCACTCAGCAGCTCTCTCTGATGCTGGCCACGTGCCAGCCTGGGCCCCTGGAATGAGAGGCAGCTGGATCTTCATCCTTGAACTTCCCCCCACCCAGTCTTCTCCGTCAGGATCAAGGCTTTCGTGAGAGTCTTGTGAAGGCAGCCTGTGTGAATTGCAGGGCAGCCTCTGAGTGATCTCTCTGCTCCCAGCCAGCACGTGGCCTGACCACGGATGGCATCTGCAGAGGAAGTGGTGGAATGTGGAAGTTTACATGACGACAGTGCATGCACATCCTCCTGTCTTGAATCAGGGGGAGCCCAGCCAACGGCTGCTGTGCTCTGATGCTGCTCGCCCATCCCCCCAGCTTGGTGACCTTCGGCTTCCTCTGAGTCTTCTGCTTCATGCTTTTCTGAGGGGTAGGCCTCTGAGCAGGGCTTAAGGAAATGCTCAAAACAACAACAAAAATGCTTATTGCTCACATTCTCTGCAACAGGCTGAGTACTTTCGATGTCACACTAGATCTCTCCAGGCCTCAGAGAATGACCAAAATTCATAGGAAGATAATTGCTATGGTCTGAGTGTTTGCTCCCACTCCCATATTCTAATAGAGAATTCCAAAGCCCCAAAGATAGTGATATTAAGAGGTGGGGGCCTTTGCACAGTACATAAATCATAATGGTGGAGCCCTGGTGAATGGGATTAGTGGCATAAAAGAGACCCCCACAGGGCTTGCCCCCGCTGGGAAAGGATGGGGGAGGGGGTCAATTGGGGGAAAAGGAGACATGTATAAAACTTTAGACAATAAAATAATAATAATAAAATATAAAATAAAATAAAAGAGACCCCCACAGAAATCCCCAACCCCCCACCCCCTCCACCATGTGAAGATACAAGGAAAAGCCTGCAACTTGGAAGAGAGCCCTCATCTGGCCCTGGTCTTAGACATCCGGGTTCCAGAACTATGACAAGTAAATACCGCCCCCTCTGGGGTATTTTGTTATAGCATCCTGAATGGACCAAGGCAGGAACATCCCAGGCAATCCCCTAATGCAATGTATCCTCTCCAGTGCACACGCATGCTTGAGGTTGTGAGAGAAATTAAGAATTTAGAAAAAGGGAAGGGGTTTTAAAACGTGATTGAAGATCTTTTTAGGCTTTAAGTCTCTGTGCAGATAGAAGAGGTGATAAGGTGAAGGCGGTGGGTGGCTGGAAACAGGCAGAATGAGTAGATATTGCCCAAAGAAGGGCTTTGAAAGTGAAGGTGGGAGCCCCAGGGTCCAACAGAGCACTGATGACACAGGTCAGTCTTTGAGTTCCGCTTTCTAGAAACTAGCACCTTGGTCCAGGTGAAGCCACCTTGTCATGCATCTTATGTGCACTTTTTCAGGGCATTGAAGACAGTAGCACCAGACCCAGAGCTTTCCTTGCCTTTCCTTGGACTCATGAGGTCCTACAGTCCCTGGTAGACTCTTCCTTGTGCTTCCCCCCACCCTGCTTTTTATGTATTTTATTGTTTTATTTATTTATTTTTTACAGAGAGGAAGGGAGAGGTAGAGAGCAAGAAACATGGATGAGATATTGATCAGCTATCTTCTGCACACCTACTACTGGGGATGAGCCGGCAACCGGAATCAAACCCGGTACCCTTCAGTCCGCTGGCCAATGCTCCATCCATTGAGCCAAACCAGTCAGGGTTTGTTGCTTCCCTTTTATGGAAGTTGGCAAAGGACCAAGTTGTGGCAGCTTAAGCAAGCAGAGTTTCCTCTTGATCATAAAGAGGAAGTGACACTCCAGCTTCTGAAGCTGGAATGGCAGTTCAGTTGTCTCATTGTATTGTTGGACAAGGTAAGACAAAGGCATCGAGAGACCAGGAGGGAGTTGGGATCCAAACATGGCCCTTGCGCTCAGCCTGAGCTCTCACTTTAAGACCCAGCTTGGCCCTGTCACATGGACCTCCAAACAACAGACTCCAGGGCTTCCTCTTTACACCTTCACACAAATGTTTGCTCCCTTAGAAACTGCGCTGCCAGCTACTTCTTTACTCAAGGTTTTAGCAGCCAAAGAATCAGTGTGAGGAACCCATGAGAGGGAACATACGTCTGGCAGAACTGCACACACTCATCAATGTAAATTCAGTGTTCAGTGAGTATTTCCATGTTTGCTACTCTGTAATTTAATAGCAGCAAACCCCAGGAAACAACATTTTTTTATTGCTTTAATATGTTCTAAATCCTTTCTCCACCTCCCAACCTTCCACAAGCAGGCCTCTGAGAGCATGCCCTAGGTGCTGTTCACACTCTCCATCAGTCTGGTCCTCAGGTGGCTGGGGTGGGTGGAGCAGGACCTGAGTAGCAGGACGGAGAAACACTGTCCTCCTATCCCTATCTGTATCTTTCTCTCTGAATAATAATAGGTCATGGCCACAGACAGGAAGACACTAACCAGGATGAAGAACACAGAGAGAGGAGAAAAGTAAAAAAACAAAGGGAGAAAATAAAAAATGGAGGAGACACAGATGCTGGGGAAGGCTGAACTGTCACTGTGGTAACCATAGATTTCAAGTCACTGATTAAACCACATAGCTTCAAGAGTTCAAGTGAATTTATGGGAGCAATGGGATGACATACGAAGCTCGTGCAGATAATTCCTGCAGGGAAATCAAGCCAATGGTCTCCAGAGCTGAAAGCATATTTGAGAACATCTATTTATATTCATTTTTTAATCTGATTATCCAATTTCTGTTTATGTTTCATAATATGACATAGTGACATGTATTATGTAATTTATAAATAAATAAATATTCCTATATCAGGGGTAGTGAATGCTCAAATATTTTCTACTAATGGGGTACATGGTCAAAATAGCTTGGAGGCCACCTTGCTAGAAAACCATTAAAGACTCCTCCATCTTGCCAGGACTGGTTTGGCTCAATGGATAGAGCGTCAGCTTGGGGACTGGAGGGTCCCGGGTTTGATTCTGGTCAAGGGCATGTACCTTGGTTGCGGGCATATCCCCAGTAGGGGGTGTGCAAGAGGCAGCTGATCAATGACTCTCTCTCATCGATGTTTCTAACTCTCTATCTCTCTCCCTTCCTCTCTACAAAATCAATAAAATATATTAAAAAAAAAAAAAAAAAAAAAAGACTCCTCCATCTTACCTGGCAAGGCCTGGGACCTCACCAGAGGCCTCTGCCAGGTTAGCTTAAAGGAAAAATCAGCTGTCTAGAAAGGTCTAGGGCCTCATGTCCCCTTTTTAAAATGTGAAATCACTTGTATTTTAGTGAAACAGAAAAAAATATTATGACTGTCACTATCTAAACTCCCAACCATCCTCAAAGGAAGTTACATCAGAGCGTGTCTGCCCTGTGCAATTATGGCCACAGAAAGGCAAGTAAGGATGGAATCCAGTCTGTGTTCCACTCACCAAACCATGTACCAGTGGATCAGTGCCTCTGCCCCAGGGAAGAGGGCCTTTTACTAACTCTCACAAAGGTGTATGAATCAATAGCCCTGCTTTTATTTATTTATTGTTTTTGCTCTATTTGAATATAATTTTCTCATCTATGTTGCTTTCATAAATACAGTTTATCGCTCATTTTCTTAGTCTACTAATAAGTTTCCAGCTCCTGGAGATGGTGCATCATTGGGGAGTGTTGCATGGGGCTCTCGCTTTAGCAAGGGCAGCCCCTCAAAACCATGGTGAGCACTCGGAAGCTGAAGATCAATTTCAGCCTTTCTGTCTCAGAGATGCCCCGAGTCCATGTGATGAGGTGAGTTGGTCCACACCTAGGCAACAAAGAACTAAACCTTAATCCAGCTTCAATTGGGGACAGCCTGTTCCCTGGGTCCTGAGATGTGGCCTTGCTCAAACGTCTCCGTCGGACATAGCCATCCAACCATAGAAAGTTCCAAGTCACTCAGCCTGAGACCACAGTGGAGTAATGCAATCCTTCTGAATACAGCCACAGGCGGTCATGGACGTCTATGTATGTCCCTGCTCGCCCTTATCTTCCTGCAAATTCCACTGATTTATTTACTGGGAAATGTGATGTTTTCCTCCCAAATGTCCTCTCATCTTAGGGAGTAATTTTGCTTCCCAGCTGTCACATCGCAAGGAAAAAGGGAGCAGTGTTGGGCCTCTGTGGGCTGTTTCCCCTGTACTCCGGGATTCTCATTCATCAGCCTTAGGCTCCTTCATCGATTTGACAAATTCCTTGACTTCTTCTTCCAAGGTCTTGTTCCTCCTCTCAACATCCTCCCGGGAGCGCTCCACGTTGCGGAGGCTGATCTCCAAGGCTGCAGATTTCTTCTTTTCCTTCTCCAGTTCTTCATTGAGCCTCACCACCTTAGCCCAGACGTCATAATTTTCCTTCTCAAGGCTACAAGGAAGGAAAGAAATGAATGAAAGAATTGAGTATTACCTCTAGACTGCCCCTTCTCACATCCTCCTCTGTCCATTTTTCATCTTTCCACATGACAAGACCTATATCCAACCTGTACCACTTATTTACATCCCAACCCCCACGTGAGCATTTCCTAGGAAACTGAATTCCCACAGCATGTCGGAGCCTGTTTTGTCATTTAACACATCTTGTGACATCTCTTGTATTTGTTCTTCATCTCATTTTATGTTTTATATCTTCCACCTGATAGAAGGGACTACATCTTATTATATTTATTTCAACACCCCCTCGTCCCAGCATCTTGCATTAGACCTGCTCAACAGAAATACAGATTAACTACTGAAGCCCCACCCATGTTCCACAGATCCTATTCCCAACACCTCTGTACATGTAAGAGCCTTCTCATCCTGCTTCAATGGTGAGTATGGACCAGTGCCTTCTCTTACTAAGGCCTCCTAGGAATCAAGATTTGGAGAAGTCTAGGGAACTCCCCTTTGGAGCAGCAGTCTTGGCAATGCCACCCTCACTTATGAATCCTGCTCCAGGTGAAGAATGTGTTGGATTCCTGAATTCACAGGCTTTTCACTATTACTGGCCAAAATCCCTAAATCTAGTCCCAGGTGGCCCCCTGCCTGGCTATGCTGAATTAACTCTCAGGAATGAGAATACATATGCTGTTTCTCAGCCAAAGGAGGAGATTGCAGGCTTGTGGGAAGATTGTGTGATTGGAAATTTGCTTCAGAATTTCATTCTGAGAGATGCTGCCTCCCTGCCCCCCACCCCCACCCCTCAAATGCCCAATCATTTTACATGGAGACAAGCTCCCATTTGAGCCCATGCCTGACTTCTGTCTTCCAGGGCTTTGCCCCATTCTGCATGTAATGCCCCTTGTCTACCACTCCCTATTGCTTCTTAAAACTAAATTAGTCTCATTCCTTCTGGTCCTCTCATCACAAAGCTCGTTTTCTTCTCCAAATTCTCCATATACCTCTTGTTTTGGGAGACATCTCAAATGAGACATTATGCTACATCTTGTATTTCAGTGGAGATTTCAGTATGCTACATCAGTGATTTCAGTGTAGAGGTAAGATCTGAGTGGGCTTGGGAGCTGGTTGAAGTAGGTTCAAATTCCAGTCCCACCGATAATTAGTTGTGAGACCTTCAAGAATCTTTCTGTCCTTCCTGAGTCCCCATTTCTTCTGTAAAGTGAGGCTATTACCTATTTCAAAAGATTGCTGTGGGGTTACATGAAAAGATGTATCTGAAGCATGAAGCTTAGACACTTTGGACTGTTTCTTCTCCCTCCACCAAGGATGGGAGGCCCCTGATGGTGGATTCAGAAAACTGTTCCATTCAGGAGAAGTGGCCGCCTCCATGGCAACCCTGTCAATGACATCCATGTTAGAGTACAGTGGGAGTTACTGCCAAGGCATCAAATGAGGCTTTTTCGTTCTACCAACGACTGATTTATGCTCTGGCCTGCATTTCTCTGCCCTTTCTCCTCTCAGTAACTTCCTCCTGCTCTAGCCCCCCACTGCTCTGGTGCTTGAACACCTAGACCTGCTTCCTTCCTCTGGCCTCTGCACCTTTGGTCTCTATGCCTGGCCTGCTCTTCTCTCATATATAGACCTGACTTGTCCCCTCTTCTCCTTCAGGCTTTTGCTTTAATGCCATCTTCTTAGTGAGGCCTTCTTGACAACTCTATTTAACATCGGATCCCCCTTCTGGAATCCCCCAACCTCCTGCCCTGATTTATTTCTCTTCATGGCATTTTCTACCATTGGGCATAGCATATATTTTCATTATTTTTTCATTATGTTTGTATTGTCTGCCTGTTCTCACTAGAAGGAAATCTCTATTAGCACAAGAATTTTTGTCTGTTTTGTTTAGTGCTATTCTCCAATAGCTGGATGCCACCTGGAGCACAATAGTTACTCAGTGAATATTTTCAGAATGAATAAACCACACTAATGTGAAAAAAGTTTTAAGTTCCTCTTAATTTATTAAGCATGTTGATCCTTAAAGAATTACTATTTAGAAATAGTTGATTAAGCTACATAATTTTTCCTTAAAGAATTACTATTTAGAAATAGTTGATTAAGCTACATAATTTTTCATTAATTTAATTTGAAGCTCAGAGAGTCACTCATCACTGCTTTTACCCTTTTTTCTTTTTCAGGCCTAACTACTATAAATTACTGTATTCTCCAAACTGAAGGTTTATAATGTCACTTCTTTGGCAGATGAGAACAATCCCTATTGCTTCATATATGTGCCTGCAACCCAGGTACATGCCCTTGACTAGAATCGAACCTAGGATCCTTCAGTCTGCTCTATCCACTGAGCCAAACCGGTTTCAGCCCCTACTGCTTCTTAAGATGGAAGCTGAGTGGCTTCCCTCTGTATGTGACTTACTTTTTAATCTGTTCCTCAAAGGCTTGTTTCTGTGTTTCTATTTCCTTTCGCAGCTCCTGGACTGTCCTTTGCAAAGACTCCAGTCCCTCTTCTCCAAAGTTCTTTGTCCCAGGCCCAGTTTCAGAGTTTGGGCTCGAAAGAGTATCTCTCTTGGAGTCGCAGGCATGGGAAGAGAGTGCCCCTGCTTCATCCCCAGGAGACCCCGGCAGGGTAGGGATGTTATCATAGGTGGAAGTCCTCTGGGCATCGGAAAAGTTCGGCACACCTTGAGACAGTGTTCTCCTATGCCCCTCCCCTGCCTTCACCTCTGAAGAAGATGACCAGAACTCATTTTTAAAGATCTCCATCTTGCTGCTGTTGGCACCTTGAAAAGCTGCTGTTAAGAAACATTTCCGATTAGGGAGGGTCTGAGTCCTTTTTCGTGATTGCAGCTTCCAATCCCCTGGCTTTTCCCTGAGAGTTTTGCCGCTGTGTTCCAGAAACATGTCACTTGGCTGTTGTTCAGTGGGGCTGGTTACTTCTGAGTCGCTGGCCTAGGAAAAAAAAAGGCCATGAAAGTTACATGGGTTTTTCCCACTTGTGTCATGTTCACAAGAAAAAAAAATTAGAGGCTTGAAAAAAAGCATCTCTGGGCAGCACACCTATGAAGACCATCTGTTCATTGGTCACATTAGTTGATTATCTGACTGGCATTTTTTTTTTCTGGAAGGACATGGTTCTTGAAGGAACTCATATTCTAAAGGTGATGCACTGATTAAAAGTATTATATCTATGTTTGAGGTAAAAGTGTTCTAAACTGGGATTCTTTTATAACTTTAGAATGGGGAGGCTTTTCTAACTAGGACTCAAAATCCAAAAGCCATAAAAGAAACATTTGATAAATTCAACCTACATGGCATGAGCCCCCAAACTTAAAAGAATAAAATTAAAACAAAGAAATCGCCACATGCTAAATCAAATAACAAATGACAAACTGGCAAGAATATTTGCAAGGCATATCACTGACAACAGGCTATTCTCCCTACTGTCTAAAGTTCATAAAAATGGAGAAGAAAAAGACCAATAATCAATTGAAAAGAAAAAGACCAATAGCTAATGGGAAAAGAATGAGACAAAGAGCTCACAGAGGAAAATGCAGTTGGCCTTTACATATAAGAAAAGATATTTGGACTCTCTCATAATAGGAAAACTCAAATTAAAATTCCTGACATATCAGCTCTCACCTATCAAAAGGACCCCCATCACAAAAGAGCTCCAATTTTGACAGTACACCTCTGCTAAGGAAACAGATTATTTTATACATCACTGGTAGAAGTACAAAATGGCACAAACTTCATTTGATAATTTTAATCAAAATTACACATTACAAATCTATGTAACTTCTGAGTCAGCAAACCCAGTTCTGATAATTTATCCCAGAAATATAAAATATAGCCCTGGATACAAAATGAAGTATAGTCAAGGTTATTCATTGTAGCCTTATTTGTAGTAGAAAGGCATGAAAATCATCTGTTTATCTGTAAGAGCTGGTTAAGTAGATTATGATACAAGAGTGAAACACTATATTCCTGCAAAAACATAAGGTCATATGAGGTAGCCGTCTATGTATTAAAGTGAAAAGGTCTACAGTATATATTGTTAAGTGGAAAAATTCAAGATATAGAGTGAAGTGTGTGTGTGTGTGTGTGTGTGTGTGTGTGTGTGTGTGTGTGTGTGTGGAGAGAGAGTATTTTGGGTAATAGGAAGATGAATAATAATTTACATTCATATTTGCTTAAATTTGCATAAAGGAACACTGGAAAGATAAATAAGAAACTAATAGAGGCAGGGAAGGATGGAGTGGGTGGAGGTAGAAGAGGGATCAGGACTTCTCAATGTAGCTCTTTTTCTTCCTTTTTATTTTTTTCAATTAAATTAGAAAGGAAAAGAAAGAGAAAGACACACACACACACACACACACAAAAGAATAGTCGTAAACATCAAATCTGAAACTAAGGGCTGAGACTCTTCTTCTAACTCTTCTGCTAATCAAGTGCTTCAGCAACCTCATCTGGAGCTTTGAGGTGAGAACTAGATTAAAATCTTATTCTGTAACATTCTAGTGCTGTCACCTTGGGCCACCTGGTCAACCTCCCTGAGACTGAAGTCCTGAAACATAAAATGTGCATGATAAATTCTGCCCAATAGAGTTACAGTGAGGAGTCCACATCTGATCTGTTTATATTTCCCAACAAAGTGCCTGCCCAGAACTGCCCACACGTTACCATTAAAAGAATAAACCTGTCAAAGGAGCATAGCAATGGCTAATCTGAAGCACTTCTAGGATGATGCCACTGTACAAGATATGAACATTTCTAAATATTAATTTAAGTTTCGAGTGTTAGTAAGATGCAGTGTATCCAGATTTTACTAAGAAACACCATCACCAACCACTACCTACTTTTCCTCCCAATCCTTTCTTAATCATCCTCAAGATTAAAAGTACTACAGGCAACTTACATTACTAGGTCAACCTAAAATTTTCAATTCATTTCTTGGTCACACATAACAAATCAGGCTGCTACATAAAGTTCACATGTTCTTTTATTTAAAAAAAATTGTTTTATAAATATATAAAACATATTTGACCTTTGTAAGTTGTTGCCCTCAAACAGTCTAGATTTCAGAGTCTGCAGAGTTTTCTGACATTGAGAACGTGAGCCCCAAGCCTTCAGTACAAATGAGGGGGGTTGACATTGCTGAGACAGTTTATCAGAGAATGGGATATATTACACGAACACATCACATGCTCTGAGAAAGAAATCACGTTTCATGGGTTAGCAGGAAACCAGTTCTCTCTGGATTTTTGACCCAGAATTTTCAATAACCCTCACTGAAACATTTACAAGGTGGTGTATCTTTTTTCCCATTGAACTTCTCTGGACTGTGTTTCAAAGTGTTTCCCTTTGGAGTGTGCTTTAGTGAAGAGTTCCATTGCTCAGTCTTTGGCACACACACATCACTAATCCCACCTCCAGGGTGCAATCAGAGACTAGACTTTGAAAGAAGTCAAGCTTTCAAGATGCCCGGGGTGGGAATGGCTCTGGGGGAGGAGGTCAATTGGGGGAAAAGGAGACATATATAAAACATTAGACAATAAAAATAATAAATAAATAAATAAATAAATAAATAAATAAATAAATAAATAAGAAAATAAAAGATGCATTCAAATGATTCTGTACCAGCTGTACCCATAGCCACAGCATCATGGAAAAACCTCCTCAAACTGCCACCCACAGCAGCTCTTACATGGAATGACCTGGATTAGAGGAAGAGTCCTATGGAAGGGGAAAGGCTCTCTGCACCTTACCGTGTTACTGAAGCTGTCTGTCCTAGAAATCGGTACATCCTCAGAGGCATCCCAGCCCACAGAGCTTCGAGGCACTGGAGGTTTCTTGGGGTCATTTTTGGGAGCTGGGGGTGACAGGGGTACATCCTTGGACTTGGGGAAGAGGACTTCATGGTCTCTGATCATCATGGTCATCACTCTTTGGATTTGGGGAGTTCCTGAAAGAAAAGAAAGAGATTTGTGGTGCTGGACCACAGCGTAGTCCTCAAAGGTCTCTACCTATGGGATGTTTCCAAAAGTGTCTCTAAAAACACAGCAACCAAAAGGACCTCATTTTGCTCCTCATAGGACTCTTCTTAATTGCTTGGGGTATGATATGGTAGTGAAAGGGATGGGCTAGAACATAGATGTGGACTGGAGTGAAAGATGGTTATTTTCAGTTTACACCCCACTGGCTCAGTCTTTAAACAGAAAATTAGCAATCTAACAGCAGAGAAAATTAAGACAACTGTCTCTCCTAATGTGGTCTTCAATGTGACATGCGATTTTTATTGCACACAGTGAATACGTGCCAGGCATATTGCCTCCACAAATCTATGGCAGACATCAGTACTCTATGGCAAAAATTTTGCTCACTGATCCAAGACACAACCTCAGAAGCCTTTTCAACACAGCTTTACAAGTATTCTTTTTTTTTTTTTACTTGGCTTATAAAATTAACTTGTTTACTCTCTCCGGCTAAGGATATTTAAACATAATAAAAGATTAAGAAACATTAGCTAACTGTTTTTGTGCCAGCCTATTGTATGTACTGTGTGACCTTTAGGTAAATCTTTAACCAGTACTGTGGTCTGGAGAATGGACATAATTCCTGCCCTGCCTACTTCACAGGACTATTTTACAATTCAGACAAAATAATCAGCTGAAAATTCATGGCAAATTGCAGATCAGTGCCCAGACATGAGGGCTAGTGTCATAACCGCTGTTAGTTCCTCTGTATCTAACTTACCACAGGAACATTCTTACCCCTCATAATCACAGCAGGGTCTTCTACCTTCGACCTGATAAGATTCACGCCAATCACGGTAGCCAGGTTATCCACGCTCATCTTGTTAACAGCACAGTTCAGCTGGATTTCATGTAGGAACCTGTGAACAGACAGGCAATCCCAGAATAAGAAATAAGAATTTGCCAGAAGAAAGCACTTCTGGATACTAACAAGATGTCAGAGATACATCCCAATTCTTCTTCTGATCTCAGAAATGGGATCAGCCTGCTCTTCCCAGAAGACTTTAGCTTCATCCCCAAAGATTTAAGATGAAGGAAGAATAGAAAGCAGGAGGGGCCTGCCCAGCTGAGGTGGTGGCCTTGGTCTGGGAGCAGAGAGGGGAGTCACATTGGCAGAAGGCAGGATCCAATTTCAGGGAGCTAAGAGGAAACTAGAAGGACCAAAACGAGCATTTGACTGCTCCTTATCCTGCCTTTATAAATTTATCTCCCAGGCTCTCAGCACCCATCATGCCCAAGTCTCCAGAGAGGAAAATCTCAGAGGCCTCCTCACTCTCATCCTCCTCACTCTCATCCTCCAATTATAGCACCAAGTATCTCAAATTCTCAGCAGGTGCTCAATAATTAACAATTAATTTCTATTATCATTCTACCCAATTGAGGCATGCACTTCTGAATCACAATTAAAGAAAACTAAACAGCCAACAAAGGAATTTCTACTTTTCTGGAAACCATTTTTAAATGGATAGGCTGGAGCAACATAAAATTTGAAACAGAAAAATTATCAAATAAATGCTGGTCTGTTCAAATGAGAAAAGCTTATGGCATATTATGAAGTTATTTAAAATCTGACTGTATGACATAGGAAAGTGTTCACAATGGAACATGAAGCCAAAAAAGAAAGCAGAATACAAATACATGTATGTAATTTCAATTTGGTACAAAAATTGTTCTGGTAAATTTATATTGATGAATGTAAAAACCAATTATAGAGACAAAAACACCCAGAAGGAAAAACACTCAGATCTTAATAGTGATTTTTACTGGATAAGAAGATTGTGGGTAATTTTTATTTCTTCTTTACAGTATGTTGCATTTTCCTGGTTTCCAAATCAAGCATGCATCACTTTTTATAATCTGGAAACTACAAAAAATGAAGTTTTAAATTTAAGATAAATTTCAGCTCTGCCTGGCAGGAGATCCAGGCTCCCAACTCAGCAGCCACAGAGAAGACACACAGCAGGTCCTCAGAAAGGGTAACTGGAATGTATGCCTCTGGGGCACTAAGTCAGGATGATTGGAGATAATTCTAGAACCCATTATAAAGATTTTGGTTCTACTGCATGCCCCAAGACTCTTAAGCAGTGCTAAGGAAAGCCTGAGGAGGAAGCATGAACATATTGTATGCTGATCAAATTTTCAGGGGGTCCTTTAAATTATCTTGTGGACACAGGAATGTACTGTGGAGCCATGTAAATAGAGTTGACCTTCCAAAGATCTGAACTAGAGTCTCTGAGTTCAAGGAGACACTTTTTCCTTCTCCATCCAGGAATTTACTTATATTCTTATTCTTAAATTTATTGGTGTGACATTGGTTAATAGGATCATGTAGATTTCAGGTGTGGATTTCTATGATACAAGATCTGCATATTGCACTGTGTACCTATCACCCACAGTCAGATCATCTTGCATCACCATATCTGAGGCCCCCTTCACTGCCCACCCTCTAGACTAGAAACTGTGTAGCTGATACCAGTGGATTCCTACCTGCAGATGTAGCTCAAGAGGCTGTAGTTGTCTCGAGGAAGGGTGGAGAGCTGCTTCATCAACTCCTGCTGAGCCTGGGAAGACATTTTTAATACCAGTAAATGAGCCTTCTCACTTGCCAGCAATGAGACCTTGGAACATAATTGGTGTGTCTGTGTAGAAGCAACACTTTGGCAGTGCTATCGGAGTGTTATATCTCAAGCATTCATTAAGCAATTACTGTGGGTATGAGTTGTTGATAGTCCTTGCCTCAGGTTCTTGGAAGAACAACAAACAAATAAAAAACTAACACTACAAAAATAAGTAAATAATGAGCCTTTCCATACTATTTTTTTTGCAACATTTTGTGAATTTACAGTTATTTCAAATTAAAAGCTATTGAAAGCCACACACAAAACTCAGAGAAAAGGAATTATCCCAGGGAGCCACAGACCCCACAGGCAGCTGAAGCTGGAAGGAACAAGTAAAGCTCTGTCCTTCCTCTCTCTGGCACATGCATTCTTTGTATGCCCATGTCTGACACTTGTGGTCATTACGGAGCTAGTACAGTCAGACCTCTCACCTGCTTTCCAAGTAGGACAGCTTGACCTTGTGTCCCAAATGGGTCTCAACAAGAAACCCTTCTCAACTGCATCCTCCCTCTCTTACTAACTTTAAAGTGACTTTGGGGTATTTGATTAAGGGCCAATTCTTTACTGGATTGTTACATCCCATGAAGGCTGTCACCATGATTGGCTTCATTTGCCTTTGGTTGCCAAGGATGTTCCTGGTGGACAAAGTATCTCACCAACGGGTATGGACCTCCTGACACATTGTTCCCTGCCTAACCAGAATAGTGTTCAGTAACCACCACCTTCTTTCCAAGCAGGACACCTAACTCTAATGAGATACCAACCTTTGCCTCATCCGCATTCATGAGTTGCCCACAGAGCAGGAATCCCTCATACTGGCTCCAGGGAACCACAGGTTCTGGGAGGTCCCGGAGGTAGAGCTTTAATAGGGAGGCCACCGTGTGCACATCTGTCTCTCTGGAAGAAAATGAGCAACACCCTTTGAAAGCAAAACTCCAGAAGTCTCAGCTCCCCCCTGGTGAGTCACTGAATAGAATCCAGGGTCCGAAGGGAAGCTTTGCAGAGGAGTAGAGTCTGATAAAGGTATATTGACCAAAACATTTTTGCTAATTCCTTTTATGGAATAATCCCCCTAATACCTTTTCCTTTATTTATTCTGCCTAACTGCCTCAAAGGAAAGTTCAAGGTCTACTTTTTCATTAAACTTCAACAGTTTAATCTTCATTGCTTTCTTTTTTCTCCAAGTTCCTTAGCATCTCACAATTTAGCATTCTGTACTTAGGGTCTCATTTTTCATGTGATAACTGCTTTATATCCATGGTCCATTGATCTATTTGACCCCCCAGAATCTTAAATTAATTCTTCAATATTAATTTAATCTTAAATTAAATTTTAAATTAATTCTGTGATCTTTATATACTTATGCAATCATTCATTCAACCAACAAGCTTTGAAAGAAACTATTTGGTACAAGATACTATGTCAGGCACTAGTCTTTCAGCAGTGAATCAAAGGGACACACAGGACACCTCATTGAACACAGAGGTGTGCAAGCTTAAATGTTACCAAGTCATTACAATACTGTATGGTTAATACCAAGACAAGGGAAGTCCTGGACCTGAGGTTGTATGGAAATGTGGAAAGGGACTTAATGCAGAGTTGGGGAGTCACAAGGGACTCTTCAGTCAAGATCTATAGAGTGATCAGGAGTTACAGCGTGGGGCAGGCAGCATGTGGATCAGCCTAGAGAGGGAGGGAGGAGGCCTGCTGCAGGAACTGAGACAACATTGATTTGATCACCTGATTAGCAGAAAGAGACATAGGCTCTTCAGCTCAGCTTCTCAGGTTAACAGCAGGAGTTGACATAGCATGATCCCAGAGTCTTTATTTGTACAGCCAGCTAGCTAAGAATGGATTTTACATATTTTAATAGTTGGAGAAATAACTCAAGAGAAGGATATTTCATGGCATGTGAAAATGACATAAATTTTGATTTCAGCTTCCATAAATAAAATGCTATAGAAACACTGCTATGCTCATTCATTTTTGTATAGTCTTTGGCAGAGTTGAGATAAGAGCAGAGTTGAGAAGCTGCCACAGAGACCATCTAGCCCACAACACATAAATATTTCAAAGGTGGCCCTTTAAAAACGTCTGCTGACTCCTGGTTTATAGAGCTGTTGCATTTATTCCATAGAGAAAATAAATCTGAATCTACCATATACTAGAACATCATTAGTAAAGAAATATTGATTTATTTCATATCAAGAACTGATGTTCTTAAGAGATAGCCCTGATAGTGTTTAGAAAGTTGTGATGTAGGAAGAGGCTCAGATAATCTGAGGGTCTCCTTTAGCCAGCAATTGGGAATATAAAATCTGCTGGGTAGAATACATCCCGGTGAGAGACAGGAGGGGTGGATTGGACAGGAGGAGGAGAAGCAAGGCCTTGGAGGCAGCAGAAGCAAGAATGCCAGGATTTGACTAGAAAGCTCTGTCTTGGCGTTGTGTGCACATTTTTAAACACTTGTTTTTGACAGCTAGTGGTTGGAGGCTCCCCTTTGCCGCCTGTGAACTCTGCACCTCAGCCTACACAGACCAGACTGCTATCTAGGCTCTATGGTGGCCCTCAGGAAGTCAGGGGGTGGGGATTCAGGAAGAGATTTCCCTGCAGAGTCATTGCCTAAAAATATCCCCAGGCAAAGCCCTCTTGGCAAAATATATAAGAAGTTCCCAAGAAAGTGTTAGAAAATCCACCAGTGCCCACCGTGCAGGAGTAACATTCTCCTAATGTCGCCATCCACCCAGGTCTTAATCAGAATCCAGGGTCTATGGTTCAATTGGGGTCTCTCTCACCCCACATCCAATTAGTATCCCAGGTCCCCTCAATTCTCTATCCAAAAGTCACATGAATATCTCCAAGTCCCTCTCCTCCTTCCACTCTACTTTTCAAAAGGAGGATTCCCCCTGCCCCCACTCCCTGCCAGGACTGCTCAGCCTCCTAATCTAGCCTCCTGCCTCCAGGGTTCCATTCTCCAGTGCACTGTCCCCGGCCTGACACAGCACCCAGCGCTCAAAACACACCCACAAAAACAATGTAGAAAACAAAGAATTTGAAATGAGAAAAAAAGCATAGAGGATATATCAAGGAAACAGAATCTTTTGAAGAGAAACAATAATAAAAACTACCAGACAGTTTAGTCAGGGGAAACAAAGACAACATTTAATAGCCAACATTAGATGAGAAAGGGGTTATAAACCACAGATACAATATAGATACCTCAAAGTTATAATCAAAGAACACAGTTAGCAATGTAAATCATCCTAGGACACTGGAATGCACAGGAAGCTGCCCGTTCATTTTACCAGGGGAAAATACGAATGCATCACCTGGCTAACTCCTCATGCTTCTTTACTGTGTCTCCGCTTAAATGTCATTTTCTTGGGGACCTTCCTAAATCCATCAGACCATGTCAAAAACCCCTGTTCTAAATTCTCACAGTACCATCTCTTTTTCATTTTTTAGCACTTAATACAATGAAAATTATAGTTACTTCTGAAAACTTTTGGTTTCATGTCTGTGCCCCATTGGGATAGGGCTGATCAGATGTCATGGTTATAGTCTAAATTTCCTGCATGATACTTCCTGATTTTTGCTGTTCTTCCAACCCAATGGAACATCCTTAAATTTAAAATCAAAGACTACAAGCAAATCAGGAGCCACGTGGTTTCTGTGTTCAAACCCTGGTCCTGCAGAGATTAGCTAGGGCTCCCAGATAGTTCTGCCCACCTTCCTTTGAAGCACTGATCTATAATGCAGACTGTCTTTGTGCATTCCTCCCAGAGATAAGAGGTCCTGGAAGTGCACTGGCTCTGTGAGCAGGCAGTAGCCAGCCTAGTAGAGGCTAAACAAAGAAATTTTCAAATTCATAGTTTTATCTTGAATGAGAGCCCGACACACCTGTACTGGAATCTGCCAATAGAGTTCCTTTGATTTCCTTCATCTGGTGAGGCAATTTGGGAAACTCACAGTGAAACTGCACATGTGACCAATGTAGGGAGGTCTAGATGAGTATCCACAAAGGTCATGTGAGCCCAAAGAACCAGTTCTGGGAGGACCATGAAGGACACTTCCTAGGCTGTGGGAACTTCTCAGTTCTGGCAGCGGAGATGTGTAATAACTTTCCTTCTTTCAGATCCAAATATTTCAGAAGAATCAAAGACTCTGACTCTGCCACCCATGCTGATTTTATAGACGCAGGAGCTCGAGGCTAGGGCAGGTATTTGGCAACCCCCTGAAATCACCTTTATGCCTGCTGGCTGACTTCACATTGCTTTTGCAACAACCCTCCTGCATCTTTTGATCAACTCAAAGCTAATTAAAAACATAAGAAGAAAAGTGAGTATAAAGTGGCAAGCTTAATTGAACAAGTGCTTGGTAATAAAAATCAGTTTACGGTGATGCTAAAAGGTCCTTAAATTCCATGCCCATAACCTGGTATAGTTCCAGTAACAACTCCACCCATTGCTTTCCTGTTAAAATACAGCACCCTTGCTACACTAACCTGTTATGTGCAAGGGCAGCAAAGACAGGCCTATGGTGGTCCAAACTAAGACAGTGGCCACGAGGAGGGAAACGGATGGGTGTTAGAGATGCTTCAGAGGCAGAATGGAAACGTTGGGGACTGGAGTGAGAGGAGAGAGAGAGGTGAGCAGTAAGACTGTCCACATAGCGTGACACCCAGCTATTCACCTTTTGCCAGGATCAGCCCTGCTCCTCAGTTCTCAAAAAGCTTGTGAAGAATTTCAACCTTTGGAAACTGGATAATGCTCAGGCCTGACTTGCTAAATCTTAGTTTATGGGCCGCTGATTTGGAAAGAATAATGACTTTTTCTTGCCAGCAAGGCAAGTGCATGCAGGCAACCAAGGCAAATATTGCACAATAAGCAGAGCGCGTGCAATGTAGGATGGTGGTTGTACTAGCTGCGCATGGCAGACAAGAAAGCCTTGGCTGGGAGGCTAGAGGAGGTGGGGAGGGAAGGGAATGGTGGGGAGAAATGACCCTGCACCAGAAATGCCCCAAACAGGGCTGGGCAACATCCATTGGGAAAACACCAGGCAGCCAACCTGTTGGTATGTACTCCCTCTAGAAGGGCTCAGAACCAAGTTCAGAATTGGAAAGTCCTGTGCTCTCCTGCATTAACAGGGCTGGTTCTGGCCACTCAGGAAAGCCTAGGGAGACCTTCACAGCCCTTAGATCTAGACATGGTGTGTCCTCCACCACACCCAGTCTGTTGTACAGGCAACTCAGCCCCGAAGTTCCTTATCTGCCCTGAAGGCTGAGCCTGGAACTAGAACCCATCTTTCCTCTACCCCATACTCCCCTCCCCGTATCTGCCCAGCAGGCTCTCCGTGGAGCTCACCTCTCTCTCAGGTAATTGATCACCATGTCTCCTAACTGTGCCCCAGGCTCCCACATCCTAAACTTTGAGCAAAACAAAGACTCTTTCTGTTGCAAGCCAGGGCTCTTGGCAATGTCTGTGTGAGTCCCACAGCTCCAGTGGAAGAGAGAATCTTCTTACGCAAGTGAAGGCAGAGGGAAGAGTGAGGTGAAGGCAGCGTACCTGTCAAAGGAGGGCCTCTCCCCGGCATCGAAAGCATCTCTGAGCTGCTTCACCAGGTTGTCCTGCCCAGGCAGCCGGAAGATGCCCTCTTCGTTCAGGCCATGTTCCAGGATGAACTCCGCACACTTCTCCACGAGGATGGGCACCAGGTGGGGGCCAAATTTCTGCTCATAGGCCACAGTCTCATCCAAACGCTGGCCAAACACCGCTGGGAGAGAAAAACAGCACCTGCCCATTATTTTGACTTCCGTTGGATGAACTGACAGGTCAAAGTGCTTCGCCTATTTCTTGAATTTCTGTGTTGCCTATGACCTCCAAGGCGCTAGGGAAATGATACTAAACAAAATAGAGGAAACCAGTCGCCCACAATATTTCCTGGGGCTGGAAACTGGGGTAGTCTCTGTCAGTCTTTTTCTATGGACACACGTGTTTACGCATTTAAAGTAACAAGTCACTTTTATTGAGTGTGCTAGGAATGGTGTTCAGCACTTTGCATATCTTTTCTCATTTAATCTTGACAGCAATCCTAGGAAGTGGTATTAATTGTCATGCCCACCTTATGTGAAAGATACTGAGCCTTAGAGGCACTGATGAACTTGCTAAGGTCAGAGGCCAGGGCACGGTACAGTCAGAACTCAATACAGGCAGTATATGCAAGAGAATGTGCGCTTCACCACAGCAGCAAGCAGGTGATTTTAAATAATCATCAGTCTATCACAGGATATCTCAGAGCATAGTAAACCAGTGAGGTATTTGAATAATTTAGATTGATTTACTGTGCTTGACTATTTTAACATTGCCACACACAGAACATATTCATTTGCCTACCAGAGTTCCTGGAATGTACAGAGCACATGCATTTTTCTAATTAATTGTTTAATTAATTATTTGACATTTGGATGAATGGGCACAGGCTATTTCTTCTTTTGAACTATTTCCTTAGGGCAAAGCCCCACATGTAGAATTACTAATTCACATAGCTTGAACATTTTAATCGCTCGATGGTATGCAAATCGCATTCCAAAAACACTGTTCCAAATTACAGTGCCTCCAGCAACGCATGCACAGACCAGCCCGCCCCAGCCCTGTCAGCGCTTGGCTCCGGCCTTTTTCCACCCCAGCGGTGTAATAAAGTTAATTTCTAAATCAGGATAATCAGTGGCTACTCATTTTTTCCCACGAGGCCTGGAAGTTCAGAAGATGGGTTATGCTTTCAGCTCTGTCCTGCCTGCATTTCCCTTTGTTATAATGAAGCCTGTGGCACCAACCACTTCAATCCATGGACACCGGTTCCCAAAGCCCTTTGGTTTTTTCCCATGATTCTCTCTAGTAGGTCCCCTGGACGAGTCTCTAATTAATGTGGATTCCACCTATTAAGAGCTCTAATGTGTTCTCGAATCTCTCATGTCCTTTCTGTCCTTACCCATTGTCCCAGCCCAGCCCGGCTTGATTCCTCTCTTCATCTATGACTGTGTTTCTTCTCTTCTACTATGTTTAAAACCCTCCTACTATTATACTTTCCTATTTAAATCACTGGTCTCCCTGAGCATATTCCCCCTTATTTTTAATATAAGCCACTTCTTCCCATATTACCACAGCAGTGTTTTTCAAATTACCCCTCAGAATCCTCGGGGGTTCCTCTGAAGCCCTTCCCTCCTCACATCAAGTGCTTGAGAGGTGAGGGTATATTAGATCCAGGAGCAGCTGAACAAGCATGTCTCTGTTCTCCCTACTCTCAACCAGACCTGCTGGGCTGTTGTCTGTTTTACTTGTGTTTCAGGAAGACTGAGTAAATATTTCTGTGGCTAAAGTTTGGAAGCTGGGGCTGGCATTCTTTAGATTGGCATTAAGCCCAGCCCCAGCCTACCTTTCTGGCCTGACTTCCTGCCACATGCCCAGAGGCACCTCACCTGGTGTTCCCAAAGCCGACGGTGCTCTCCAATGTCTATGCCCTCAAATAGTCTCTTCTCACTGCCTCATCTGTTCATCTGTCCCTTCCTGTCTGCTAGAATTCCATTTGTCTTCCTTGGCTCCATTCAATTATTGTCATCTCTGCTAAGCCTTCCCTGACCTCAGTCTGAGAGATTCTATCTCTACTCTGTGTATCCGTATCCTTCTCAAATATCCCAATTCCTTTCTACACTGTGCTATGATTATGTGTGTGCCCCGGTACTCTCTGTATGACTATAGACTCTCTCATGCTAGAAATATGGGGATGGTCTCTTTTTATTCCCAGAGTTTGACGTAGGGCCTGGCACAAAGGTAGAGTCAACAAATTTCGCTAAACTACTTAATAAATCATTTCATCTTCAAGCAAATGCTTTCCATCATTAATGATAATTTTGGCATTTATTTACTTTAAACATTAGTTGATATCTCAGCAGACAAATTCAGCTTCACGCTAACATTTATTGAGTACCCTGCCATGTGCCAGGAGCAGCCCACATGGCATTCCATTGGCTATACAGGGTAAGGGATTATTATGCTCAATTAGTTTGTCATCAAATTATGAACATGAAAAGACCCCATGCAAAATAATGAAAAACAATTAGGGAATGTCAATACAATATAGAATTAGATTGCTGTTTGTCTGTGAAGTGATCTGGATAGATATATTCACCAAACTGGAAGGAAATAATTAAAATGAACTGACTTACAATATAGGCCACGTGGCCTTTGTAAAATTCCCTTTGAGGGGTCTAGGGACAGGTGGATGTGTTTCAGAGTAGTTGAAACTTAAATTCAAGGGGCCCATGGGGCCTCCTAAGGAAAGATCTCCCAAACACAATGTGACAGTGTGCACACAGCTGTCAGAGTTGTCAAATGTGAGCTGCATTTCTGAGGTCCCCAAGCAGAAGGAAGGTTCACATTGCATCTGAAATCAAGCTTCTTCTTATGCCCTTCTGTATAGTCAATCCTCTAACTTTTCTCCTCTTCTGAGTCCATCAGTCCTGTCCACTTTCAACAGAACACTCATTCCCACATACGTTCTCTCCATCATCTCCACTCTGCTGATTTCCACTCCCTCTCCACGCCTTTATCAGGCCACTGGGAGCTATGTGTAAATGCAGCCTAACATATCATGGACATTTATATTTCCAGTCTCTGTAAGATCCGTTCCAAAGCTTCACCACTCCCCTTGAGCTCACCACCATTCCCTCTCCTGTCTCAGCAGGTGACCTTGTCTCCTCTTTCCCTTATCTCCCCAAATTGAGGACATAATGAGTGAACTCCCTCATTTCCAGTCCCTGCCTCTTTTATTCTTCTTCCTGTATGCCTGCCTGTGTCTCTTAGAGGGAGAAAAGGACCCTGTACTTCCTCCAAGATAGTGTTTTCTTCCACCCTTTTCACCTCTTCCAAGATTTCACTCCTTCTCTTTTTGTATTTTTCCCTTTCAATTGAAAGAGCCCACATGTATCTAAGTCTTTGCTAATTTATTAAAGATTAATCTCCTATCTCGAGTCTTAACTGACCAATGCTTTCCTTTCTTCTATTCACCAGTATATTCATCAAAAAAAATGATGAGTCTACTTCTTGAAAGAGTCATCCACCCTCACAGCATTTACTTCTGCCCTTAGCATTCACTTCTGCCCTTAGCATTCACTTCCCAACCCCTCAATCCTCTCCATTTGGTTTAATCAGCCTGCATCTTTCCACTCAGTCTGCCCAATAAAACTTCCAGTGCCCTGCCCTCTTATGCTTATTCCACACTCTACTGATCTTCACTGAAGATTCTGATGGGGATGATTCTTCTTCCTTTTCAAGACATTATCCCCACATGACTACAAAATCACCCACTCTCATTTTATGCCCACATCTCTATGGGCTCTTTTGCAGTCTCCTTTACTGTGCCCCTTCTTCCTGCTGTGCCATTTCCTGGCATTCCAGCTCAGATGTCCTCCCACTCTAGACATTGGGATATCACCTACAATCTGGTAACTTAAAATCCACATATCTGCTCCTGGTCTCTTCCTATCTCTGTCTCTGTAATTTCTCTTCTCTTCTCTTCTCTTCTCTTCTCTTCTCTTCTCTTCTCTTCTCTTCTCTTCTCTTCTCTTCTCTTCTCTTCTCTTCTCTTCTTCTTTCTCTCTTTCTCTCTCTCTCTCTCTCTCTCTCTCTCTCTCTCTCTCTCTCTCTCTCTCTCTCTCTCTCCTCCCCCAATTCCACAAGTCCAACACTTAATGGCTTCTCCAACCTCACTCTCATTCTACCCACCCCTCCTTACAAATCACCCTTTTTCTGTAGCATTCCTCACAGCCATAGCATTTGGTCAATCGAGCACTCAAACACCAAGCACTTTAATACAAGGTACCTGCACTCAGCCCAGTTAGCAAAAGTGTGAGCGCTGAAATGATCTGCAACACCCCTCCTTCCTTCCAGAGAGATCAGTACATTCTAAATTACACCTTCAACTGTCTTTCCTCTCTATCCTTGCTGCCACTTTCAAAATTATTACAAGATTTCTTATGCGACTCTGTTTCTTGCAAATTCCTTTCACTGGAATTCACAAATCACTCAGCAAATATAGACTGAGCATTTGTGCTGTGGTAGCTAGAGATTATGATAGAAAGAGTGAAAAATGGTCTTTGCTCTTGGAAACTCTAGAGCAAATGCCCTTCCTCCTTCTCCCCACCTAGAAACCTGATCTTACAATAGCCCAAGTTCAAATGTCATCGCCTCAGAGGGACTTGATCACTCTCCTCTGTGCTCATAGAGCTCCCTGTATATACCTCTACTCCATCTCTTCTCGTGGATTTTACAATGATTTATTTAAACATCTCTCTCTTCCACTGGACTGTGGGCTCCTCAAAGGCCGACAGCCTGTCTGGCTCACCATCTATTTTTATCTCCTGGCACAGAGCCTGGCACATGATGGACCAGTCCTCAAGGAGCTGTTATTACCTGCTGTCCCCTACCCCTCCTGTACTCAGCCTTGTCTCTCCTGAATACACTCTGATCAGCATTTCTTCATACTTGCATTTGTCAAGATCAATGGCCTATTTTATAAATTTATAAATCCTGGGGTCACATTCTCCATCCTTATATTAATTCCTCTATCAGCCCCCATCAAATTACCCCTCCTTCATGATACAAATTTTCACATGGCTTTTGGACCACCACTCTCTCATTTCTCCATTTAGCTCATTGGCTGCTCCTTCTCAGCCTTTTCTGATGATTCCTGTTTCTCACCATCCTCTAAATGTCAGA